ACACACACACACACACACACACACACCTGTAAAATATGTACATGCGCAGCTTTACAAAGAACAGGTACAAAACTTAACAAACGTTTTGGCTTAACTTCACTTCACACAGTGACCTGTGCACATGAAAAGGGTTTTTTGTCGCTGAGTCAAACTGTCACCATTTTAAAAAATAAAGCTTCATAAACTCACACAAATCTGACATAAGTTCTTCTGTAATAACGACTGTTAATCACTTCAGATGTGTAGAATTTACCAGAGTCAAATACTAAATGTCCTTTTCCCTCTGTCCGTTGCGTCTTGTTCTGATTTATCTCATTTTATTCGTGACTGTCACTGACTTTCTTTCTTCTCCGCTCTGCTCTCGTTATGTTCCAGGGCCCGGTGATATACGCCCAGCTGGATCACTCGGGCAGCAAAAACTCGTTCCATAAGATGGAGCCAGTCGTCTATGCTGACATTCGTAAAAACTGAAGAGGAACAGGGGACCAAAAATGAAAAAACATGAGAAACACAGTAAAGTATCAGACCTCTCTATCAGCTGCTCTTGGGAAGGGTGGGATTATTTCAACAGGGACACAACCGGTGCAGTTTCTTTCTTCTTTTTTTTTTTTAAATCTCTGAAAGCATGATGCTGTTTCATGATAAAACAAAGTCTCAATGTGCTTTATCGTAAAGACATAACAAGCAAAGTAGCGCCCGGGTGGACACTACGTCATTACATCACATCAGCCTGGAGATTGCTCTCCGACACAGGGATCAAAGTGAAAGTGAGAATATCATTCCACATGTAGAGATATATTATCAAAGTTATCGTCCAAAAGAACTGAAGGTTCTGCAAACTGTTGCACCAGCTGGACACGAGTTTGAGCATCGATATAGAAGAATATATAAGAATATCAAAGTTTTTATATATATATCTGTGTATAACTGATCCTTTTAATAACGTACCACGTATTAAACTAGAATATCAACAGATGTAAAACTCCCCTCTCAGCTCCAGAAGCTCGGCCTGTTTTACAGAAATAACTTCTTGTAGGTGTTTTGCATAACGTCGCTGACATTCACTTCCATGCAAAAAGCCTTCAGCGGCACGACGTCTGTTCTCCTGCCAGCGATAAAAGATTTAAAACCTGCCTTTGACTCGGACGTTGTTCTAAGACAAATGTTGATTTATCATTATCGCTGGTTCAGTTACAAAGAGGATCAAATATTTGCTTGTTGAATTTGACAAACACAAAATCTTTATTATGTTTCAGGACCGTTATTATTTCTTTACTATACCAGTGGTTATTTAATTATCTTCCCAGGACGTTTTATTCAGAGCTGCATTTAAATATCTAGAGCCTGAACGTTTGGACTGAGAAGCAGATACTGAAATCAGGTGGTAAAAAAAAATGTGAGTGTCGATAAATCGGGGCGATCTAAATAAAAATGTAAATATTGGCAACAATTATGAAAACCCTCATGACAAAGAAATGTAAATGAGGTTTGATATTTTCCAGTTTAATTAGAAACTGTATTCTTTCCTGTTTGTTCTGGAAGATAAAACTTTTCGTATTGTTAAATGTCTTTAAAAGACTCGTATTGACTTATTTTAATTGGCCCACAGAAGTTGTATCGTATCAATCATTCTCAACATTTAGAATTCATTCACAACATGTAAAATACATATAAAATACATTCACAACATGTTAAATACATCTGCCAATCGTATAAAGCGATGTCTTCAGTTACTGTCACATTAGTAAGAAAGAAACTCGCCTGCCCTCGTCTCACAGCCGGTGCAACAGTGAACTGAAACCACAGTTCACTTCATCTCCACAGTTTCATAGTGAGTTTGTTTTGTTGGGGCGAATAATGTAGAGTTAGATTTACATTCCCTGCAGTAACTGTGCATGCAGCGCTAATAACGTCTACCAGCTCAATCTGGTACCCGTAGAAAAGTGTAGTTGTGAAGCAGAAGAAGCCGCCTGACGTTGTGTTACTGTGAATGCTTCAGTTCTCCTGTAAACTTCTGGCATGTTGTTACGGTACCTTTATTCAAATAAAAAAAAAAAACACTGCCTCCTTTTTGATTTTCACTTCAGTTGAACACGTTTCTGCTTTAAACAACGTTCTGTTTGCTCAGTATTTGTCTTAATTAAAAAAAACATGGAGCGAGTTTACGATTGCTCCGCCTGATTATCAGTGTAATTTAGAATAACAGATAATCTGCTGCTCGTGTTTACGACCCGAGCAGTTTATCTTTAATCTGAGTGATTTCAAACGATGCAAAAACAAATGTTCAACTGAGGTGAAACGTCTCCTGTGAAAACACGGAGCTCTTATTTGTTGGACAAGATAAATTCTAAATACACTGTTTGCATGCGACTTACTAACAGAACAATCATTATTATGAGAATATCCATATGTTTCTCTTCGTCTACACGTCATGTTAAGCTCTTTTTATTTTGTAAAAAACTAATGGGCCAAATATCCGACAGTTACATTAGGTAAGTTTTCCTCAGATGCTTTTAAGCTTTAAAATGCATTCCAAACTAGATTCTCTTCTTTTGTCTCGAAGCATTTAAGAGACAAATTTGATTGTTGTTGTTTTTTCTTTTAACCGTTTTGGTTGCATATGAAAAAATATATTTTGTGTCGCGACCAGTCCGAATGCCTTCAGCTTCAGCTTGTGATTCTGAATGCAGTAAACATCCTTGCTGACCAGTACTTGTATATATTTCTTGCTCGTGTAAGATATAGTGCCGTTTACTGTAACTCATTCCAGTGTGGTATGGCTGTGGATGTCTTTCCAGAGAAGGAAACTTGTTTGCTGTAGAGGTCTAGAGAGTTGGTGGCATGCTTAACGAATTTTCCCCTTTTTTTTTTTTTTTTTTTTTTTTTTTTTTTTTTGTCAGCGGACGCTCCAACGTACACAGTGTCTGCAGGAAGAGTTGAACCGGCTCAGAGTGACTTGAATCAAAGTTTCTTCAGCGAACGGTAGAAAAAAAATACTAAACTAATGTGTCACATTAAATCCAGGAGATCTTTTGCTTGAATAATTTAAGCAAATACATGATAGAACATATCAAAAGCCATATTTGCTGTGAAGCTCAAACACAATCAGTGGATAGAACGAAGCTTTATCGTCCTCGTCCGTCCACCAACATGAATAAACACGATTCAAAAAACAATTCACTACAAAAATATTGAAACAGTTGTGTGCACGAGTTGTTCTGTAGATAACAAGGAAGAGAGCAACTTGACATTTTGTGCTAACGCTATCGTTCAGCAATAACGGGCCTAATATTCCTCAGCGATGATGCTAACATGCTAGCGTTGATGCCACGTTTAAATTGCATCATCTTAATCCGTGATAACGAGCAGCTGAGCGTGAAGAAACACTCAAAAATGTGCCGCTGGCTGTGACATTGACACGGAGTCGAGTAATAACATTAACAATCTGTTGAGAACTGCAACGCAACGAAAGAAGCTAAACAGGTTAATTGGACCACGAGGTTGTGGCTGAGGCTTAAGTCGGAAAATCGTGAAAACTTGAGAAACTTGAGCGTGTGATTGGGTGTGGTCACAAATATCAAACCCACTAGTGATGCCACGGTGTACTGGCCCCGCCCTGAAGTGCACCTGTACGTAGGAAGGAGAAGTTTCCAGAAGTTTTATAATTAGCAACAGTTAAGATCTTTACGTATCGTGCTACCATTTAGCATGTTAGCATGATACATTAGCAATAATAGCTGAGACTTATGGGAGTGCTGTGATTAGCAAGCATGCTATGCCCCCCCCTTTATTATTTATAAACATTAAATAAAGGCTTTAATCGTGTTTTTCAATAGAATGATATAAAATTTGCCTTAATATGTTGCTAAGTTACCATTGTTGACAAATTAACCCTATGACACACGAAGTAAGAAAAAATTTAAAAAAATGATTTGTGATGATCAGAAACGAGTTCATTGAGGAAAACCTGAAATACTGAATGAGGAAATACATGTACTGCAAAGATGCAGTAAATAAAACCTGAGTGAGGTCACTCTCACGTGGAGTATCGAAGGGTCAGACACTCCAGACGCCTTAACGTCTGCTGGAAGTGAGAGTGACGTTTCTTACTCTAGGTGGCGCTAAAAGTCAGGAATGATGAGGACGAATATGAATGTTGGGGCCAAACATCGAGTCGGGGCCACGTTGTTTTTTAAAATGTGGAAAATATTATTTTGTAAATAACACAAATTCATTTTTTCCCATTTTCAACGTGTTGATTTTTTTCAGTTTCACCTTTAAACACCTCATATTTGAAACACTCCACATTTTCATACCTAAACGTTCGGACTGAAGAAAAGCTCAATGCGTCAGGTTCGACTGGTTCTGAGACGCTCGGTACTGCAGGCACTGTGGAGTCTTCCAGACGTGTCCCTTCTCTCGTGTTAGTTTCTGTCTGTTACTTTATTAGTTAGCATGTATTTCAATGTATTCACCAAAACGAGACAGAAAACGAACCTGTATGATTCCGACGAACCTTTACTGCTGGTCACTCTGCTCCTGTTCCGTGACTTGTTGCCGTGTTCTAGTGCTGTTGTTAGAAATTGTGATGTAAACTATAAATTATGAACAATTTCCAATCCGACCGAGCTCACGCACGTGCAACGCCTCGGTGATTTTGAGTGAATACACGCTGCCACGTTCACTCCACTCACGACGAGTCTTAAAGTGCGTACTTAGTGTCTTTCGATGGTAAATAGTTTGTGTGTTATTTGAGAATTGTTTGGTATGTTTTGTTGTAAAACCTGCACTATGTCTTGCGTATCGAAGACAACAAATGCCCTGTGATTTTGTTTTGTTTTTATTTTCGTTCATCTCTGAATGACCTTGGCCTCTGTTTAACGTCCTTAAAACTGGAATGTTGTACATTTAGTGCCTTTTACATTTCATCAGCTAACTTGAACATCTGCTCAAAATAGAAAAAATAAGATTCATTTATTTTACTTTTATTGTATGTATTTTTTTATACACATATCGCCTCTGTATCCACTGTTCAAATTTTATATAAAACCTATTCCTGGCCAATTATCTACGTGTTTGTGCTGCTTGTTGAGAACTTTATCACGTGCACGACTTCTTTCCTTTGCCGGTTTTCTCTGTCGTATCATCTTTTTTCTCCAGAGGACATGAAATTCACAATAATTTTGATATTCTTACTTTCAGTGATTCTCGGTGGTTCAAGAAATATTTAAGTTACAACCTCAGGAAGATTTAAAGAGTTGAAAAATTGGCCCCAGTAGCTGTTATTCAATGTGCTAAGTGGAACATCAATCATTAAGAATAACTTCAAATTCATAAAATAATGTTCAGAAACTTTTTCTATTAATCTTCCTCATTATTGTAGCACCAAGTGTAAATTGCCTGCGGTCCTGTGTGTGACCAGCAGGAGGCAGAGTTGATCTGTTGACCTCAGTCTCTCATCGTCCCCTCAGTGGATCACTGCTGAACCTGAGACTCATGTGCAAATGTCCCTCTCATCTGTTTCCCTCCAGGAAATGAAGATATAATAAAAACATATATTAAATGTGAAACATAATCAAATAAACGCTGGCGTCCACAGAACCTCAGCGATGATGCTGAGCTGCAGAGAAACTGAAACAAAAAAGCTGGAATTCCCGGTGAAAGGCAAACACAACAACAGGGGACAATCCCACAGGAAAGAAGCATTGTGTGTGTGTGTGTGTGTGTGTGTGTGTGTGTGTGTGAGTGTGTGTGTGGGTGTGGGTGTGTGAGTGTGTGTGTGTGTGTGTGTGTGTGTGTGACGCCACTGATAAATGACGGATCAAATGATGATGAATGTGAAACCAAACCAGCTGATGAAGGCGACGCTGCAGACGGAGACCAGGTGAGACTGATTCTTCTTCACTTATTTTATCCTGTACAGTGTTTTTTTTTCTTCTGTCTCTTCAACACGAGGAGGAAAGAAACTTAGAACATTTACTCAAGTACCATTTCATGTTCTTCCTCCTGCACTTGTTGGCTCAAAGAACCCCCCCCATCATATTCCCACAGTCTTCTTCACTGGATGAAATCTTCCCTGTTGTCATGGCGATGGATCTGATGAGCATCCACAGACGTTTTACTCTTTTGTCTTGTAGCGACAGTCGAAGTCTTCTCGTTGTTATTGGAAAGTTAGAATTTATGTTATTGACATCGTTGAATTCCACCTGTCGACAGGACCTTTGAGTGTTTCTGGTAAATGAAATATTTAAAATATATTTATAGAGTCTATCGGTCACACTCGTATAAAACCAGAGAGGATTTTCTTTGCTTGAAACACAGTCAGTCAGACAGTCACAGTCACCGATCTGTAATTGTCTGAACATGAACACTGGTGTTCATCATTATAACGACACTGTTTGTTTACAGTCTGGTGAACCAGAGCAAACCGCGTAACAAATCTCACTCGGTCCCTCGGAGGATGTGTGATTCTTCGACACGCCCACATGTCTCTGCTGGGCGGTCGGCCTCTCTCCACATCCATCAGTGACAGCTGCTGACGTCCTGCTCCCTCTGGGGTGCAGATGATCAGCATCACAACTAAATCTCTATTTCAACAAAAACACCCATAAAAGGCTCATTTTGAAAAATCCCTCAGATTCACACGCACAACGAACACGGAGCCGGTTTGAACTTCTAGGTTTGAGGTCAAATATGTTAAAATAACACAAATTCCTGATGGAGACGGGCGTGAGAGCAGTTTTCAGGATTAGTAAAGAGATATTTTAAATTTGTGCAATGGGATATGGGGAGAGGGGGAGAGAGGAAGAGGGGAGGATATAGGGGGGACTGGACTTCCCAATCCCCTTATAAGGCATTTCCCAGAGAACAGTGGGAGTGGGGAGGAGGCCGAGCGATGCAGGATATTCTCACAGGATGTGATGGCTGGAAAGAGTCGAGCGATGAGGAGGGAAGAGTCAGATGAGGGGAGCTGCTGGACCGTGCTTCTCCTTCTGGTGGTTATCGATCTCTGAGTGTGTGTGAGAGTGTGTGTGTGAGAGTGTGTGTGTCTGTGAGGATGTGAAATCAGGATGGTCAGGAGGTTGTGCAGAGTTTGTCATCAGCTGAGAGTGAGGTAAATGTTCAGCTTTATAATGAGTCTCTACATGTGTTGTTGTTGTTGTTGTTGTACACATGGTGACAAAGTGCAGCGGTGGACAAAGTACTCGGGTCTTTTATTTTAAATTCAAACTCCAGCTTCTGTAAAAGTGAAGATTTACAAGTTCGACTTAAACCGTGTGACACGTGAACATACTTCAGTTCTTGTCTCTGCATGTTTACATTGTGTTATTGCTTAAAATTCTAAATGCTTCTTCTCCGCTGACTGAAAAGTGTAGAAAAAAGTTTCCGGTGTTTTTGTTATTCGCAAAATGTGAAGAAAGAAAAAGTACAAATTCTGTAGAGAATCATATTTTGATATATATTTATTTTCTTATTATTCATATTGTTCATGTTCAGTGTTGTTGGAAAATGAATCTCAGGGGTCATGATCAAGAAAAACACTTTTTTAAGCATTTTAGTTTTTCATGGTTTTAAATCAAACGTCACTTTGTAGTTTTCTTTATAAGTTTATCATGTTTTAAACTTTAATATTCTAAATCTGCTCTCAACCGTTTTTCTTTCATTTCACTGCTGCAGATGAACAACAACGTTTTATAGTTTTGTTCTAAAAGTAACACACGTGATGAACTTTGTGTTTTCAGCAGCAGAGTGAAAACAAGTAAAACGTAAAATATGTGATGTTGGAATTTACTGAAACATCACATGAGCTCAGTGTGATTCACACCAGGGTCCAGGATCTCACAGAAAACACGTGACATCTCGAGCTGGTGACATCTGCACAACTTCTACTTTAAAAACCTTTAACTGGGTTTTTTTTATTTATCTTCCATTTGCCTACCTGCTGATCTTCGGTCTCGTACCTCTTTTGTTATTGCCCCCCCCCACATGGGTACTTACCACCACTGTGACATCACTCCCACGTTGTCTGCTCTGCAGGATGTTGTTGGTGCTCCTCTCATGACCAGCAGCTTCGTTTGCTCTGTCATCTCTCTGCAGTCGTACCAGTTCTGCGGTCGTTCGACAAAAAGCCCCTTTGTGCCGGTTGTAGAAATAGCTCTGTCACAGGCTACTCCCCCCCCTTCCTTCTCTGTTTCGTGTCACATCACCTCTCAGCCTCCTTCCTGCGCTCATGTGCGTCTCCCTCTCCCTGCAGCACCATGGTCCTCCTCCTCCTCCTCCTCCAGCTGCTCTCCCCGCTGCTGCTCAGCTGCGTGGCGGCGTCCGCAGGTCCTCCCCGACACCTCCCTCCCTGCCAAGTAGTAAGTAAAAAAAAAAAATTAAAATAAACTACACAGGTGAAGTGAAGGCTTCCACTGAAGCTCTTTCTCTTCTGACGCTCCTCATGTCTCCAGGTATCTGCTGAGTACATCTCATGTGTTTGTATGCGTTGCCAATGGTAACCGACACACGAGGCACCTCATCCATCAGGTGTGTGTGTGTGTGTGTGTGTGTGTGTGTGTGTGTGTGTGTGTGTGTGTGTGTGTGTGTGTGTGTGTGTGTGTGTGTGAGAGAGAGTGTTTTTTTTTTTTACTTTTCCAACTAAGAGCTTTCATGAAGTGGACAAAGGTTAAATCGCAGGTTTGCAGAAGTTGGTGACTTGAAAACCATCAAAGTCTTTAATGAGCGGGCTTTGAAAACATTGGATGAAAATTCAAAAGCTCGTCTTATCGCAGAGTGTTTAAAATCTTGCACGGCTGCACAGCACCTTCGAGCAGCACATACCTGGAGCGTGTACTTGTCCTGTGTTTTTATACACACGTCTTTCTGTGTGTGACTCAATCAGTTCACACTTTTCTGCATTTAAAATAAATAAACATAAGATGCAACTAAAAGTTTCCCAGAGATGAAGTGAAATCTGAAACTGAGACGTTTCCTTCATGTGGTGTTACCTGTTTCTATAAATAACCAGGTATCGGTGTGTGTTTCTATTTTTAGATCCACTCTCCTGGTTAGAAATGCAGCGAGTTCACGTGAAGCGTCGCGGTTCTCTGTGATTCACGTGTGATTCCAACGTCCAGAAACTAAATCCAATCCTTGTTCTTTGGTATTTGTCATTTTCTCTGAATCAGAGGACAGGGGACAGGGGACAGAGGTGGGTCAGGACATATAACAGTCCAGGGCCCCCCTGTGGCTCCTCGGTTCAGGTGGTCGTGACTTGTAACTGGGTTGAGGTGCATCTCTTTCTGAATCTCTTTCTCGTCTGCATTTCCTAAAATAATAAAAACACAAAGATTTCCAGTCTTAAACCCTGAAGCTGCTGCGTCTGGAATTCAGTTCTGCAGCAACCTGCTTCTGACGGGTTCTGAAAGTTTCAGCGTAAAATGTCTTTTCCAACAATACCAGTGAAACAAAAAAGAAACTTTTCTGAGGAACTGTGGAAGTTATGCTGAAGCTTCGGCTGAACTTTAAAAATCAACCTCTGCTCCTTTTTAGACGAGTGATGCTTCCTGTTTGGTTCCTTGGAACGTGTCTTGCACTGTTACAGTATGATCTGTAAACCACTTCACATATTAATCACACAAAGTTCAGATGTGCAGTTTTCAGGAATGTAAGCAGTTTCTGTGGAGACGTTCGGTTGCTCACAGGATTCAGAGGGAATGATGATTGTTCTTCTCACGTTTCTGAGCAACAGACCTGATCACAGACTCAAGATATTTTGCCCTGCAGTAGTTCCTGGATAAATTCAAGCGTTTGTTTCTGGCCGGCTTGTGAACAACCATCAGCAGGACACCGCAGATATACGCAGAGAAATGTGCGCTGGCCTCGGAGCGAGAGCAGAGACAGTTTTATGAGCTGTTTTGCGCAGGGAGGTCTCGTGGCCATGTGGTTTCAATTTTAATCTACGTTTAATAAGTTAAATAGTTGAATCTTTTGGACGAAAAGATGTGGAGAAACTATTTTGCTCATAAAAGTTTTATCTGGGTTGGAGAACTTCATCATTCAGCTTCACTTTTTTAATTATTTCAAAAGGAGACGACGTTGTAAAGAGTTTTTGTTATTAGAACAACTCAGCATCATAAACCTCAGAGGACTGTGACGCTGCCAAGAACATGCCGAGGACACACTGACTCATAAATCGACCCTAATTTAAACATTCGGTCTGTGTTGTGTCATGTTCAGACGATCCTGGCAGGACGCCGGCATAACCAGCCTCTTTGTCTTTGTTCGTAGGTCCAGATGGACGTGTTTTGCAGCGATCGGAGCCTCAGAAGTGCACCGGTCGACCTTCCTCAGGGCGTCCAGCTGCTGGACCTCTCCTGCAACCAGGTGCAGAACCTCACCCGGGAAACTCTGGCGTACCACACCGGCTTCTATCATCTGAACCTCCACGCTAACAGGATCCACTTCATCCAGCCGGGCCTCTTCAGAGACATGACGGAGCTGAAAGTTCTGGATCTGTCCAAGAATCATCTGAGTGTCTTCGCTCTTTCCAAAGTCAGCATCGGGCCTCTGACAGCTGTGGAGTCGCTGGATCTTTCAGGCAACGGGCTGTACACGGGGATGTCGGAGTACTTCCTGGAGGATTCTCCGTCACTGGTGAACCTTTCTCTGAACAGCAACAGCATCACGAAAATAGCACAAAATACCTTCAGTGGATCTTCGTCCTTGGAGAAAATCAGCCTCCACAATAACGTCATCTTGGAGATCGAGGACGGAGCGTTTGACTCGTTGCGTCATCTGACCGAACTCGACTTGTCCAAGAATTCGATCACGTGCATCACAGACTTTAATCTCTACAATTTAAAAGTTCTGAATCTCAGCAAGAACAGCATGGAGCTCTTCCACAGTGCGAGCTCCAGTCAACTGTACAACCTTTTAAATCTCGACCTGAGCGAAAACAAAATGCTTTACTTTCCGTTTCTCCCCAGAACCAACGTGCTTCAGTATCTCGATGTTTCTCGCAACCACATCCAGAGCTTCAACGTCTCAGGAAATCCGGAGAAAAGGGCAAATGTTTTTTTAACGCAACTCCAATATCTGGACATGAGTTACAACCGACTCAAAACCATACCGGAGACCTTTTTCTGCTTCATGAGATCACTCGAGGTCCTGAACGTGAGCAATAACTGCATCGGCTCGTTTTCTTTGACCGTCGAAGGTCTTCTCCCGACGGTGAAGATTATCAATCTCAGCTTTAATTCCCTGCAGACTCTGACATTCGGGGAAAACTCTCTGCCGTCGCTGGAAAAGCTTTTCTTACAAGGGAATGACCTCACCACCCTGGACCATCACGTATTTCAGAAACTCCCAAGTATCAAATACCTGCAGCTCCAACAGAACAATCTGAAAATCTGTGACTCGCAGCAAAGCCCATACGATCCAGAGCTGACAGAGCAAAACCAAGTGAATCCCCCCGACTGTGTGTCCTTGTCCTCTGTTCGCAGTTTGCACTTCCTGTACCTCTCTGAAAACAATCTGCAGAATCTCCCTGCAAATGCATTTGCCAACACCCCTCTGAAGTTGCTGGACTTGTCCCTGAACCCGGGCTTGGACATGGACAAAGACTCCCTCAGTGGTCTGGAGCACTCGCTGGTTCACCTCCTCCTGAGGGAAAACAACATTTCCAGTCTACACACAGATCTGTCCTTGCTGCAGAGTCTCAAACACGTAGACCTGTCCACCAACCAGTTGACCTCCCTGCCTGTGTGGAACAGAGAGTCCTCCATCGAGTCCTTGAACCTGCAGAACAACAACCTGGTCACGTTGGACAGCAGCACTATGGTCGCTCTGGAGCACTCGCTAAAAACCCTCTACATGGGCTCCAACCCCCTGAACTGCTGCAGCAACCTCGGCTTCCTCAACATGGTCCAGCGCTTGGCCGTGGTCGTCCCCGACATCGAGACCGTGACCTGTGTCCACGAGGACTTTTCAGAGCCGGTTAACATCGAGAAGCTGACCGAGGGCATGTGCCAGGCGTCGAGCAACTCTGCGTACGTTGTTGTCGTCGTTGTGCTGGTGTTGCTGGTCGTCACGATGGTGGTGGCACTTCTCGTTAAACGGCGCCGCTCGAGGAAAAGAAAGCGCAACATAAGCTTTAGAGCGTAACATGAAGGAACAGACGGGACTTGCCGACTTCTGTTAATTGGAAGGACGGTGGTTTTATCTAGAAGTTGGACACGTGAACGTCGTGTCTGTGGCGTCTCCTGATGGACGAGTTGAAGTCTTCACAAGGGTTTAACCTTTTGAGGATTTGGGCAACGTTGAAAAAGATGAATTAGTTAATGCAAAAAAAAAAAAGACCACAACCATTTGTTGACGGGCGGAAACACGCGTCAAACAAACTGAAACAAACTTTCGAAGCCGGAACGTCGTGTGGAAAATTTGTTCACTTTGATTTTCTGAAGAGAAGTTTGGACTTTCTGGATGAACTAAATCTCAATTTCGGGGTTTTTTGAAGGAACTGGTCGATTAGCATCACGTCAGTGTTGTTAGAGTGATGCCACAACCAGCAGCTAAGTTAGCTTAGCTTAGCATATAAGATTAGAAACAGGGATACAGTTAGCGTGGCTACGTCCAAAGAAGAGAAAATAACTTCTACAGCTACAAACTCCCTGAGACTGAGCGGGAACATATTTTAAAATGTGTTTTTAGAAAAACACGTTTTAATCAATGAGCTTTCAAAGTTGCTAAACTTGCTGTTTCCCTGTTTCTAGTCTTTATAGAAACGAATGAAGTATGATGATATTTAGCTTGAAGCTAAAACTGAAGAAAACACTATGAAATGAAATGAGGATGTAGACGAAGAAGTTTTATTTTTATTTTCAAACCAGTCCAAGCCGTCCTTTATCTGTTTATGTAGTTTGCACTTTATATTTGTCTTCGTGTGTTTTACTTATATCTTGTTTATTTACAAATAACCACTAGAACTCATATTTTGAAATAATTTATTTTTTTAGAGTAAGTTGGATGTTTTCTGAACTGATCCCAGGTCTGTGATGCTCCATAACGATTCATTTGATATAAATATTAAATGCAGTTTAAAAGCTTTTCTTTTGTTTCCTGGTTTCCTTTCAATAGATTGATTGATTATGGAAACATTGTGGAAACTTTAAACTTTCTAGTTTGAGTGAAACCAGCTTCATGAGTCTGTAACGACTCCACACTCACCTCGCTCCGTCCTGAGGAAACAGAATCCTCATTAAAGTCACTGACGAACACGTCAGGCTCGATGACTCAAAGGATTCATGGAGGAAAGAATTCAATGAAATGATATTAAACTGAATGTACAATATATAAAATCATCAGTGTGATGTTTATTTTCTACATGAGTTTGTCTCGTCCGCTTTGTGAAGAAGCAACACATTTCTGATATGATGCTTAACAAATCATTTAGTAAAACTTAACATTAATGAGATAATAAAATCGTTTATAAGACATTGAGTTAAAGACGCTCACTGATAGTAGACTGAACAATAAACACCTTGTTGAAGAAGTCAAGTGGAGATCAACAGAACACTGAGTTCAGGAGTTTGATTAATGAAAGTGTGATGGAGTTTTTACAGTTTTACACAGAGACACATCCCAGATATAACGTCTCATCACAGTTGGTGACTGTGGAGCTTCAGTTCATTCTTCAGCTCATCGGCTGCTCAGAGAAAACTGACTTTCCCTTGTTCCACTTTGCAGCGATGCATTTGAGTGGAGCCGGTTCAGTGGGAAATTTCTGAACTCACCACGGTTACATTTTTTATCACTTTATAAATACGCCGGCCTTCCAGGTTAATGATAATTAAACCTGTGAAACTTCCCCCTCATTGCTCACAGTGTAAATATGTCACAAACAGAGCAACTCGTACTCATGACTTCTGTTATTTGAACTGTATTTATACAGCAGGTACAGTGTGTAGTTAAAAATGTGCTGCCATGTTCTAATCTTCTGTTTTCATATGATGACAGCGGCCGACACAGAGCGGCATCACGTAGACAGTTTCCTCTATAGAGTATACAATAAGATGGAGTCTTTAGATTCCTCTTGGGCCTCCGCTGCTCCTCCTGCTCCTTCTCCTGCTTCTCCTCCCGTGTTTACGTTTGGATTAAAGCTTTAAGGTTGAGAAAGTGCTGCTCAGCCTGAGGAGCTTTATCTTCACTCATTTAGCGTCCAGGGTGGAGCAGGAAGTTGTCAACGGGCCGTCCTGTTCCACATCAGAGGGGAAAAGCCTCTTTTATCACAGTTCACACAGAAATGAGAATCTCACGACAGAACGTTCGCTCACAGGAACGTTTGTCTTAATGAAGCTCTGCGTCAGTTTTCCTCATCTCTTTTTTTAAATGGCTCTAATGTCAACATGTCACCGTGTGTTTGTGTTTCACATGATTCACTGTCAAGCACTTTAAACACACTGAAGTGACTTGATTAAAAATAGCTTTGTCTTTGTGTTTCTGCTACATAAACTATATTTTATTATAAAATACTTTCAGAATAAATCGACCACGTGGCTCCAGATGATTTCTTTCATAAAAAAAAAAATAACCTTCAGTCTTTATAAGTGATAATTTGCTGATTAAACTTTCGCTCTGTTGAGTTTGTATTTGCAGGAAACTCCAGAATAATCTTCATCCTCTTTTCATCTGCTCTCAGAAACAGATTCCTCTGAGATAAATACAATCATACGTCTAGACTGTGTTTACGTGGGTGAGTTTGTCGGCTGCTGTGAACCAGTTACACAACCGAGGACCTGAGAGTGACGGCTTCATGCTTTTCAATCAGAGGTTTTCTGATCCTTTAAGAAAACGCAGACTTTTAATTATCACACTTTGGTCTTTAAATGCTGACGTTAGTGAGATAAATAAATAAAATGGTGTTTTAACTGCTCACTGTTTCAGGAGTGTGTGTTCGGGGAAGTTTTTCAGTTCCTCTGCTTGAATAAAAGTACTAACTGTACTCTTTAAAAGTACTCAATTACAAGTACAAACCCTGCGCTGCACAGATGTTCTCAGGTTGATGCTGAAAAACATCCTGTTGGTCTTGTCCCTTATTTCTTTATGTCATTAGATTAATTTCAACTTTTCTCCACTGGACTGCAGCTGCTGATGTTTTTCATCGTGGATTCATCTGATGATTTGTACGAATACTTGGTTTGTAAAAATAGCAGGCGGCTGACAGCACCTGCACCTCCACCTGCACAGGAGGAGCCATCAGCGCAGGTGAGAGCTGTTAGCTGATTGGTCCTCAGCTTTGAAAAGCAGCAGCAGAGCGAGATGCTCTGTGAGCGGAGCTGGACACCAGCAGGAAGCGCAGGTGTATTATGAGTTAAGAGTTTTTGTAAGTTTATGATTTAATAAAGCACCAACTCCTTTGTCTCTGGCTGTGGGGGGGGTATCTAGTTCATTCACTCATGCAATGTGCTCAGAAAACCTCGTGGCAACCTGCTGAACTTTGAAAACCTTTGTCCAAACTTTGGCCCAGTGAAGGCTGAGGGTCTGAAACGGAAATCGTTCATCCTCCAGGGAGAGAGAACGTGTTTGGAAAAGTTTAGTGAATCTGTCCTGTGACGGCAGAGCGATCAAAAACCTTGAGGAGCTCGTGTTCGGCCTCCTGCTGCTCTACCCAGAAGCCACCTCTCGCCTCAACCAGATATTTCCCTTCAGGAGTCCAAACTTAAAAAAATGTTCCTGCTACAAACTCCAGAAAAGGCCCACGGACAGCTTCCCTGACACTCTCTGGACTTCATGTCTGAAAACAAGTGAAAGTGTTTCACCAGAAGCTCTTTGAAACGAAACATTTTCCTTCTACCTGTGTTTATTTACAAGGAGCGGCCGCTGACACAACGAGGCCGACATCACTGAGTCTGAACGGATCATTTAGGACAAACTACCGATGAATCACTGAAACTGTTCGAATGTCCCGTGGTTCCGGGAAAGTGCTCCACTGGGAGGTCGAATGAGACTCAAACTTTATTTTTCTAGCGTTGACTCTCGTCTCCAGGGGAAAGTAACACAAACCCACAGTAGAAGAACCTTCTCCTCCTCCTCCCCAGGGAGACGAGAGGTCACGGGCCTCCGACGGGAGACACCAGCTTTCTCCTGGTTCTAATGTATGAACCAAAGTCTTTGTCCCTACAAAGACAAAACACGCTCTCCTGCCAGCAGCTGCACCACCCAGCCGAAGGCATCATTTCCTCTTCCTGTTGTAAAATTCCACCGTGTCCTTCTTTTGTTTATGAGATGAGTGATGGGCAGAGATTGAATCAGAGGAGGCCTACGTGGAGGGTGTGCAGTTTCTCTAATTGGAAGCAGACCTCGACCGCTTCTCCTCGTCTTTGTGAGCAGGCTCGGAGTCACCGCTGAACATCAACCTGCGATCATCACAGTTCAGTCACGCCGAGATGAAAGAGAGACGTTTTATAACCGGAGGATGTGAAGTAGAAGCTGAGTCACGAGGAAGATTTTAAAACAGAAAGAGAAAATGGTGTTAACACATTCATACGATTATTGACCTGAATCAGTCCTGATGACTAAAGAATGACTTGGTCAAGAGCTCAAATAGTCAATTTCTACAATGTTAAATAAAAGATATGTAATTCAGTAAATATATAATATAATGAAAAGACTGATTTTGGTTTAATGTGACAGATTAAATTAAAACAGGAAGTTTGGTCTAAAGAAAAAACTAAGAATGTTACGAACTCCTCACGAGTGAATTTGTTATTTCAGTTTCACGTTGGTTCTTTTATTTTGTGGCATCGTTGTAATTTACTGACGTGTTTGTTTCTTGTTTTTGTCGATGATGGAATTAACTGAAGTGATCGAACATTTCAGTGGATAAATCTAATATATATAATAATACGTTTGAACCTCGTCTCTGTTTCCTTCAGGCTGTGACGTCTTCAGTTTTCTGCTCAGACGAGATAAGTATGTGAGAGACGGTGACTCAGCCTCGTCTCTGGGACTTTATCAGTGGAGATGGATGGAAGACGTCTGCGTGTGTTTGTGTGGGATCATCGGTGCCTTGCTCCACGATCTCCAGAGAGCAGACATCGTCCCATCGCTCATCCACGTTAATCCCACCGCTCCCACACAAGCGCTCGCTCACCATCACCATTTACCACCAGGGACCATGGGAAAGGTCAGAGGTCACGGGTTGTTTTCCACGGTTACATGATGTTTAACTCCCCCGCTCGCTCCACGTGCATTGTGTTGTTGTTGTTCGTGCTGCTCGACAAACCCAGGAGGGCAGCGGACGGAGCTCACGGTCGAGACAATGGAATCGAACATCCTGCATCTGCTGTTTCTGCGGAAAGAAATAACAGACACATTCACGCCACTCGCTTTGAGCTCGGTCTGGTAACTTTGTGTCTGAGAGTGCGGGATGAGTCAGTTTGGACTCAGGCTGTTTGTTTTATGAGCAAACTCTCGGACATGTGGCCGTGAGATAAACTTCAAATTGTGCAGAATTTTCTCTTTTTATTGTGCACACACACACACACACACACACACACACACTGAAGAGTTTATTTATCCGCTGCATTGATGTCAGGGTGTGATTGAGTTCAAGGAAAACAAGATAACGTAAGTTTGTTTGGCAGCTAAACAGGATTGTGAAAGTTTCTCCCTCTGAAAAAGGGAAGGTCGATCCAAACTACAAAAAAAGAAAAAGGTTCTAACTCTTGTCCAAGATTTTATTATTTTATTTTTTAATTTCTCCGGGTTCCACACCTGAAAACCTCCAGAGTCAACATCAACCAGAAGACAAACAAAGTTAGAAACATGTCGTGTGAAACTAAAACTGAGAAATAAACAGAGCAAATGTTGGATTTACAATGATCATGTGAAAAACATGCCTCGAAACTAGAATGTCTCAAACCAAAGGTCAAACAATTCCTCACACAATGATAGTAGAAACCAGGGGAAGTGGTCGGAATGTGTTTTATTTGTATTTCAGACACAGTCCTGAACTGAGCACACGAAAACAATGTCAAACACATTTCACACTGAACTTTAGTGTGGTCTTCTCAGGTCTGATCCTCATCCCTCCACCGAGCTCGGTGGAAGTCTGTTCAGGAGTTTTCTGTTTAATCCTCCATCAAACATGAAGACGGGTGAAAACACCGCCTCCTTGGCGGAGCTGATTAAAGCGAGATCACAGACAAAGACGCTTTTCTAAAAGATTCCTCTTCAAAGTTTACGGTTGTGGTTCTGGAGTAAAACACAAAGATTTCAAACACACCGATAAGTCACGTTAGAGAAACTCATTGTGACTCTTCTCTGTGTATCTGATCTGTGGGAAACTTCCTGACGGTTTCTCTGAAATGAACCTTTGTCTTGTTGAGACTAGACTTTTCAGACGAGAGGAACCATCGTCTGAGAAACGCTGAGAGATATTCAAAGAGCGATCCCGAGCTCTCTCTGACTAACGGGTGAAAAATACACGAAATCAAATCAACTCAAGCTGAA